TTGCCCAAATAGCTCCTAGTAAATGAGACTTATCTTTTATGGAATGCAACGGCCGTCTTACGATAAACATTGCAATGTTACCTATAAACGTTGAATTGAAATACCAAAATATCGCTCGTGCTCGTTGTCTACCCTCACCCAAAATCCTACACAGTACAGCCTGGAACCTTATTTACGGGCAGAATCACAACACCACCAAAAGGTAATTTTTTATTTTACTTTGGTCTTCTGTAAGTACTGTTAATAGCGGCCTAGAAACAGTATAAATAGAAATTTTGGATTATATCCATGTTGCGCCTGAACTATTGAACATTTTGGAATTAGGATTCTGCTGAAGAGAAAGATAGGGTTCTGCCCCCCTAGCATGAGTACCGCATTATGATATATAACTTTAGATTAAAACAAAAAGGGTAGATACAGTACGTTCATACTTGCATCAAACAAAAACTGATCCCACGGCAGCGCGAACGGGACGGCGAGATCCGCGTCACTGCATTACCGACCCGAAAGAAATAGCACGTTAAGTTTCAACGGCAGCGCGAACGAGACGGCGAGATCCGCGTCACTGCACTACCGAACAATCACGCGACCAGTACTCGACGTCACTACCCAATAAGATTCAAAACAAACAGTATTTTTTATGAAAAAATATATTTTATATTACTTACGAATGAAAAGTGATGCCGTGGGTTTTATTTTTAGTTCTTGGGCAATTTGAACACTTTTTAAAAACAGACTTAGGCATTGTTTTATCATATAAACACAAAATATTAGCAATATTTCTTTTTGGCGTTCACATGTGTCGTTTGCATGTCAAGTTGTGACTAAAGCGATTAGGGTCGTGGACCACAATTCATGCGGATCACTTTTGTGAGGTTAGTGCCGTATCTACCCTTTTTGTTTTATTTTAAGTATATAACGCGTTTTTATCACGCTCAATTGCCAAATTACTATTTTGTTTGACAGTTAGACGCGATTGAAAACGTGATATACCTAATGTATATTGTAGTGCCCATACTACAGAAATTGGAGACGGTTACAGGCTACCTTTTACCCTGAAAACAAATCTTGAAAGGGGTGAAATGGGGGCGAAACTTACTTACTGATGAATTGTATGGGAAACCTTATTAAACCACTTTAAACCACGCAAAAGAGACGACTTGTGCTTTAATAAATAAAAGAAGAAAAAAGTTAATACTGTTTAAATATTTATAGAACACACCAGCTTAGAGCAGGACTTGCCCAAGATTTTTAATGACAGTGATTAGACAATAAGATCGATTTACAAAGTGTTTATTATAGATCATTAGCATTTAAGTAACAACGACTGTCGGTGTGAGGCTGGCGCCTTTAACGTCTATTACTGTATTACCATAATTTCATAACGCAACGTGTATATTTTTTATTACTAAGCCGATTTGCCTCGCTTGTAATGTAAGCTAACATTAATCGATAATAATGATTTGATTTATATTCTTATCGATCGATAAGTGTTCGAGCATTCATGTTCAGAGGAATTTATTTTAACATTCATTAATACAATTTAATCGTTGTTAATATGTATAACCTGTATTATGAAAGTTTCACGTCACATAGTAATGTAGAGCAAGGAATGAATTTGTATTTCGGGTAATGGACGAATTTGTACATAACGGGTTTTATACAAAAAGTATTTTTGTGTATTATTCTTTAATGAACCTACGTTTCTTAACATATTAACATTATCATGAACCTTTTGATGTCCCTACTGCTGGAGTGGAGGCCATTGACAATTGAAAAATTCATTAAAGCAAAGATAACAGGTCAAACCCATGTGGATTTGAATACTGATGCAACCGAGGCTAATAGCTTCTTAACGTAACCTTCCGAGATAATAAAATTTTTTGATCACTCATCCGTTCATCGACCCTTGCAATATAACAAAAAAAAATTACAAATAATCAGACAGTTCATGTAAAGAGAGAGAAAGTGTAACAAGACAATTACAAATTAATACTTGCAAATTAAACAGTAAATAAACATACAATTAATGAATACAAGAATGAAGTTATACTTATATAATAATCTCTATAAACCTAAGTTATTTACATACCGAAAATGTCATGAATGTGTGTTTAAACAAAGTTTTACGATAGTTTAGCTTCCACAAACTGAGTTGAGCAAACTGGCAGGTTTAGCATAGTCAGAATCAACATGATCAGTATAGGTATTCTGTAAGATACAATCTCACTTACGATCTCATTTATCCGGATTTCTGACAAATGTCAAATACCTAATACTGGCTGCTTCTACAGACACAGCGACATTTTGCCATGTAATGGCGTAATGCATATCAAACTAATGTCGAAAATGGCAACTACCGAAATCAGAAGTGAGATTTTGTTTTACAGAATCGCCCTACAGTAGCAGAATTTAGACTTACTTATGCGATGTTCTTATAAGATTCTGGAGGATATGGTTAATTAATTTCCTTAGTTGGTTAAGCTGGTGGTTGGAAAATCAAGTTTATTAAAAGTAATATCTTTTTTATGAAATTCACCAATAACTTCAAAATGTAAATGCATTAATTATAACCATGAAAGCTCTGCTTCATCAGTTTTCTATAAAAATAAAATTGCCAAGAATACAAACTTTTATGCCAAAATTTGACCACTTAGGAGATGAATTTTGACAAATCCTTTCCATCTTTCATTTCGAATGCTCACTTAAGTCATTAAGCTTTTTTTTTGTAACAATTTATTTTGTATACCCAGTGTTTTCGACCAGTTGTTTGCGTTGATCGATTAGGTACCAGACAGACAACCAGTTTCTTTATGTTGTTTGATTTTTTTCATTAGATATAAATGGATTTATACATAAGTTATATTTATACAGGAAACTCTTGCAATATCTCATGAGGTAGATATAAAAAACAGGCGCAAAAGCCACACCTTGATGACGCTTCATTCGAATTTGGCAAGATTTATAATGTCATACATATGTCTACTATTACTACTGCCTACACCTGCGCCTTCGATTTTTTATAGAAAAAAAACGACGAGTTGCACTCCGGGAGTGCCGGCAGAAGTGAAAACTTGAATATTAACCTTGTGCATTTTTGATACTTTGGAATGGTTATGGAATAATTTTGCACGAATTGCTTTAATTATCACTATAAAAGTACTATCATGTATGTAGTAGAATACAATATTTATTTATTGCGCTATCGTACACAAGCATGACAATTTATATTACATTAAAATAGTTTATCTCTCAGAAAAAACAACTTACTTGAATCACGTTTAAGCGCACTTAGCGACATCTATTGTAAAGAAATCAACTTACATGAATCACATTTAAGCGCACCTGGCGATATCTATTGTAAAAAAATGCATTTTCTTCGCAATAAAGCTGCCACGTGGACGTCCTAGATAGAGACTTATTAATTTAATACGGTAAAATAAAATATTACTATGTTTCGTCCAATATATTGAAAGTCAACAACCTTTCCAATTTTATTGTGTCATGATGCGATCAGCCCACGTGTTTAGCCTGACGAGAGTTTAACATTTTTTACCCATACAAAAAAAAGTTTACAACGCCGCTAAAGAAGTTTTCACTTCAAAAATATTTGATTTTAAAATTAAATCTGTCCTGCAGCAATAATCTGTAAGTCAGCAACCTTCATCACCTACTGGTGGTAGTATTTATGCTTGCAGATTTTTGTCGGAAGGAACGACACAAATTACGATAAGTGAACTACACTGCTATCTGTTTGGTTGTTTATTTAAGGGTTTAACCAGTACTAAAAAAATACTGAGATGGGAGTGGCTTGCACTGTTCAGGGGGTGCTTGGTAGAATAATACTCTTTCTGCTTCTCTCCGAAATTCTCTTAGTAGATTTAAACAAGTTAAATGGCGTGGCAATGAAAAATTCATCGCTTAAAAATATATTTTTAAACTTACCCATATTTCGAATTGGATACACTATTATAAATTCTTGTGATTTAAGGTTTCCACAACTAAAGTGTGGCACTGATATAACCGCATTTATAAGTTATTTTTTTTAATGTCGTTGGTCGCAGATGACCTTTAGAATGCCACCGGGTTTGGGGACTGCAAGATCCTAAGGGGACATCGGGCCGAGAATTGGCGAGTGTCTTGTGTGAATCTTCTTTACCCCAGCATGTGATACATCATTCTTTAGAGATTGTTAAGTAGAACATAAATACATATTTTTATTTTCAATAACCAAGAAACGGGGGCGGTCAGAGTTGAATGGAAAATATTCGTGGTAGTAATTTCAGTTAGACAATAGTGAGCCCATTGTAGCAAAACGTGCCCGAGTAGAGAATTCAATTCACGAATACTATTATAAAGAATTGAATTGTCAAAGATATCTGATTGACTGATACTCCATAAAATGTATTGTCAAAGATATTTGACTGACTGATACTTCATAAAACCGCAAGGGATAAAGCCTGAAACGTACGAGTAGTATGACGTATTGTAGATGTTACAATAGTTGGTTAACTCGATGAACGTATCGCCAAGCGAGCAATAATGTATGCTAATTTAAACTGCCGTCATTTGCATCGGCATTCTCCTTATAACGAAACACTCCTTGCAAATGAAGCGCCAAACTGCGAAAAGCTCTTACGAGTATTGGCCGTATACCAGCTTATTATAATTTCTAATTGAATTCCTGCAATCTTTAACACTTTAAAGCACATGTTAAATTAACGAATTCGTCAGTGCCATTTTCAAGTCATTGATTTTTACATCTCGTTCAAAACTATAAAATGAGTTTGTCTATTTCTTTTTTTTTCTTTTGTTTTCGTATTTTGTAGGTATAAAACATTACTAGCTTTTTATTTAAATTATTTTTTATTATGATATAATATAGTACCTATATATTTCAAAGTTCTACTTCAACTAATAAATTTTGTGCAGTACTATGTAGAAACCCAGATAATTATTTAATGACCAGCGACTGACCATGATATTTTATATTGTTCCAGCACGCAAATGCAGTCCGGGAGTCAGCTCGGCTTATTCTCGAGTCTCCAGCACCAGAGGCTGATGACGCCCTCACCCTGGCCAGAGCTCTCCGCACCCGCCCCCCAGTCAACATGCTCCCAGCAGCTAAAGCCGGCACATTCTTTGCACGAGATAACCTCTCAAATTTCATCGAGTGGTGTCGAAGAGCCCTAGGCATCCTGGAATGCCTCCTTTTTGAAACAGATGATTTGTGCCTAAGAAAGAACGAGAAGCATGTAGTTCTATGCCTTCTCGAAGTCGCTAGAAAAGGAGCTGTACTGGGAATGCCAGCGCCATTACTGGTCCAGATGGAGAAGCAGATTGAAAGGGAATTGGCCGGCGAGGAATTGCGACCTGACGATTCTGCTCTTGGCCTGGTCCCGCTAGGACCTCAGCCACAGCTGGTGACCAACGATTTGAGGAGTCTGGATGAAAGGGTCAGAGACTTGGTGGAGAGGTGCTCGTGTCCAACTCAGTTCCCAATGGTGAGGGTCTCGGAGGGAAAATACAGGATTGGTGATACCAGGCTCCTGATCTTCGTCAGGGTAAGATACTGTATTATGAAATTATAATTAATTAATTGCCTAAGCGTAGATTAAAGGTATAAAAATCTGGCACCTAAAATAATGGATTTGCATACAAATCAAATAATGAAAAGTCTTACTACCTATACCCACCTTACTCGAAGAATATAGGGAAAATATAATCACAATGCTGAGACGGACGCTTCTGTTTTAACTCATAAGATAAAGTGTTTAGAAAACACTATATCGATTAATATCTAGTTAGACATGGAAATCGTAGCCATCAACATTTTGAATTGAATTCTCATAACCCCATTTTCTTATCGGCAGGTAACCATAAAATGGGTATACTGTTGTTTTATGTGCGATTTCTACACTTTCTGCATTCCCAACAATTGCCTTTAAAGTTACAAAGAGGCCATCAAGCTCCTTTTATTACAAATCAAGCGAATAACCTGATTTTGTGGTAGTTTACAACGATACTAAATATTGACGTTGGCCACTAGTTGATTAGAAATTATTTCCTTTACTTATTCTGGTTGCTAAAAATAAAATAAATAAAACCTAAAACTATAAATAGAGAAAATTACAATTCAATAAAAAAAGGGTACCTAAAAAAGTTTTTGATTTATTATAATTATTTTAGTTTTTCGGCCATTTCTCATTTTTTTCTGATATTAAAAATAAATAAAAATAAAATGCTTTTATTTCAAGGCATGGCCTCATATATTATGCTAGTAACATTTTTTCTTAAACTATGTTAGTATTTCATTACTATTTCAATTTCAATTATCATTATAACATATATGAAAATAATTAAATCAATACCATGTATAAAAAAAAACAAATAATTTTAAAATTAAAATAATTAAAAATTTACCCATTCGCCTAACGGAAATGCGTTGGAACACGCTAACGCTTTCGATTTTATTTTGTTATTTCTGACCGCCGAAGGTTTACAAATACCTCACGCTCATTATCTTTAATATTGTTATTACCAATTCAAAAGAAATAAATTTGAAAACCTCAGGCGGTTAGAAATAACAAAATAAAATCGAAAGTGTTAGCGTTTTCCAAAGCATTTCCGTTAGGCGAATGGCCCCCTGGTCACTAAACATGTAGTTTGATGAACTGACCATGCAGAGGGGAGTCCATTCTATTTGCTAACATACTCAGGACTCTGTTACAACCTCCCCGCAGCTGATGCACCAGTGACGCGACTTTTTTACGCATAATAGCATAAAAGTCGTCAGTGCTTCCGTCCGCAAACATTTCAGATGCACTTATTACTACTATAAAAGCAAGAAATGCTATTGTGTAATGATGTCTGTCCATCAACTAACAAAGTGTCCGTACAAAGCGAAATATCAATAGCACTACCTATCGATAATGATCAAGCATCAGCCGTGGGAAAGTCACGTATCACGTCAACCTTCACCATTCATCTTATATTTACTGACCTCGTTCCTTCGTTTAGGATCAGCCTTGCAACCCTTAATATGGTCCGAAGACCAATTTTATTTGGCCCTTTCATTTCAATTGACACCTGTTCTTCAAAGGCCATCTTAGATTAGCCACCATAGAAAACAATTTTTTTAGACGCGCCATTGCGTTTACTTCGTTACTAATTATAGCTCTTCAAATATTGGTCTGCGTTTAAGGTCGAGTTTCTAATGTTTTTTCGATATCCAGCGCGAGATCGATTTGACCGAATATGGCAACGATCGCTGCGCATGATTCATCGGCCGATGGACTTTAGCGGATTATGTCGTTGTTTCTGTGGCCTTCTATGTGACAGGGAACGCTGAAAAAGGCGTCAGCCCATTCTATATTATTTAATTTGAATCTATTTCATTTTATATTATTTATTGCTTAAAATAACTTCCTTAAAGCTTTAAGAAATTCGATTGATTGAATTCAAGTTTTATGAAATAACGGGCTCAGTTTATTTTTTATTATAAAATGTGATCTGTTTCGTTTGAACATTTTGCACAGTTCAGCATCATAAGAAAAAAATCATAACGCGAGAAGGGATAATATTTTAATTAACAATCTGCTAATTTTGTTTTAATATTATGTAATAGATTTGCAAGACGTAGCTATATTATGACTTTTTTACATTTCAGATTCTTCGTTCCCACGTGATGGTACGTGTTGGAGGAGGCTGGGACACCTTAGCTCATTATTTGGACAAGCATGACCCGTGCAGGTGCCGCGCCCAGCATCGCACCTCGCTGTCAGCAAGACTAGCTCGCCCCAAGCACGACCTAGCAGGCGCCACCGTGACCTACGAACGACCAGACCCCGGCCCCACATCATTACCCTACAAAACTGAACCACTACAAAAGAATTACGAACCGATGTCTCTACAATACTCCTCGAAGTTATACGCTGATGATCCGAGAAATACACACTACCAATCGAACCACAGACTCAGTGATGCTCCAACAAGCTTACCTTATCTCGGCGACTTAGATAGGTCACATTCACCGAGCCGAAAACATTTAGCCCCGAGAGCTAATAGCCCTGGAAGGAAGTCTTCTTCACCTGACAGACGATCAAAGATTGTTGCGACTAATCATTTAGTACCAACGCCTTTAGGTGTAAGGAATAAAAGTCCAAGGCCAGTTTCTCCTGCTCCAGCGGCTGAAAGTGCTTCCGATAATGGTTCGGAGGTGTCAGATGAAGGGTACAGGAGTTTGGGAGTGATGGCCGGGTCTACGCAAGGCTCTCCGCCAACTAAAACGACAAATAGATACTCGATGCACAGCCAGAATTCAATTGAAGACGCTGAATACAGTGGTAAGTTATATATATTTATTTCTAAAATTGTCTCTCTGGTGAATTTTAAGAATAGTATTTAATAATATGAATAGTTTTCTCGAGTAGGACTATTACCATTCTTAATTTAATGATAATAATTTTGGATGACGAGGCTACCAACGCTAAATTATGAAAAATTACAAACCAAAATATATAAACTAAAATGACTGCAGATGACTACCGTCCTCATCAAGCAACAGTAACAATAAATTGGCGACACACAATAGCGGGACGTCGTTAGCTGTTAGAGGAAATTCATTGAAACGTTAGTAAAATTACCGTCGGTGCAACAGAGCGTTTCTAAAAACGGGACAAGACTGAAGTCGCAAGCGATTTTGCTGCATAAAGACAACTTAATATCCGGGTTGATTAAAAATATTATTTTTCTTCGACATAGTGTACAATTGCTTCCCGTATCCTCTGTTGAGATGATCTTAATGAAACTAAACAGGTCTAATAAATTTAATTCAAGCACTTCAAACAGCACTTACTTGAAATAAATAAGTAATAATAATAATAATAATAATCTATTTATTTCTCTCAAGAATGGTTACAAAGTCTTATATTATAAAATACAAAGTATAATTAGCAAATAATTTTAACCTAATAAGTAATTCAACAAAATGGTAGAACGGTTTCGTCATCATAATTAACACGGATTAATGACAAGTAGAGAATGTCAAATTTTGTATGGAAGCTTGAACAACAGCGCTACAAAGTACGTAACGAGAACTAAAAATCAGTACACATTTGACAATGACATTTCGGACTCGCAAACGTTACGAATTCGATATTGGTTCGTGCTAGGGGTACTGTTCATAAATAACATAAAAGGTGACATAATTTTCTTCAACAAAGTTTTGGTAATTTATAAGCCAAGTAACCAATGTGCGTATACTGTTCCTATTTATCTATGTATCATCATCATCATTATTAGTCTATTGATGTCCCCACTGCTGGGGTACACGCCTTCCCTATAAATGGAATAGGAAGGTTAGACCATGAACCACCACGCGGGCCCAGTACGGATTGGTAGGTGTTAACGACTGCAGATGCAGCTGGGACCAAAGGTTTAACGTGCCTTCCGAAGCACGGAGGAGCTCGAGATATAAAATTTTGACCATCCATCCAATGTATGTATAGCGGTAGGTACCACTGCGAAAGTTGCTTCATTTCCACGGTTGCAGCCGAAAGCGCTAACTAAAGTTAACTCAATGTTGTAGTTTGGTGAATTATTGCTGAATATGCTTCAGTCTTTACCTTGCACCAAATTGTGCAAATATTTTCGCAACAACATTTGTTAGGCCGTTGTCCTGTGTCCGTTCGCGTGTTTGTTTTCACTGGATGAATAGTCGACGCCGTCTGGCTCGCCTTTGTTCACTCAAAAGTCTTTCAGTTCAACTCGCATGTGAGGTTTGAGTTCTGTTACACTGATAACTTCAGGGCTACCAATATTGAGTCAGTTACTGGAGCAGTTTAAAAATGTTTAGAACTTTTGATATTGTAATTATAGTTATGCTCTGAAGTCAGTCTAGAATCAGTTTATTTTTGGTAAATCACTAAATAATACTTAATGTTGCTTGTTTTCAAAGATAAATGATCTATTTGTAATTATTAATTCAACTTTATTATATATAACTAGTATATTGTATACTTCTTATTAAATTGTAAAAATATTTAAGTTCAATGCAAAAAGTGATCATCGTGGGACGCCTGGCAGATGTGAAAATTCAAAACTGAATTTTGACAGAAAATTGTGAAACCGACTGACTTTAATGATACTCTTTATACTTTCTAAATAGTGGACAAAACTATTCAGAACAACAAATCTGTTGAAGAACATATTTATATAAATCGAGTATTCACCAATACTGGTGTAAGTTTAACATTAGGCTCTCCTTTTCATTCTGTATAGAGAAACAATAAAAGATATATTGTTGTCAAAAAGTTTAGGTTTAGGAAAGCATGCCAGAATCGACAACAGGGTCGTAATAAATCAATCTTTAATTATACATGAGTAATGAAAACAAAATAAAGTACTTAATATTAAATTGGCTCATAAAATTGTCACGAACCTTCCCTAACTGAGCTATGTTAGGCTTATCTATTGTCAACATTTTGTCACTAAATAGGTACATTTGTTTTGACATACCAAAGCGTCTCCATTGTCCATCCACGTTAGTCTGTGTCGCAAATGAGGTAATGTTCATTACCATTGTCTCATCAGAAACTGTGCTAGATCGTGGGAGTGTTACATAAATGCATACGCAAATTTTTGGGTATCATAAAATTACGACAGTCGTTTGTGACTCTTACGGACCTTAATTCTTCTTATTGGCTAATGTTAAACACCAATGATAATGAAGAGATGACGAAATTATAAAATGAAGGAAATAAGAGCAACGCTGCTGCTACATATGCAAAAAGTGGGTACTTTTTGTTTTTATGAATTGAGTTAAAATAAATATAACATACATACTCTTTGGGTTATCGTTCATTATCATTTTAATCAATAGATAAAATTTTATTCGCATTGCGTATTTTGCAAATTCACATTAATTTATCTGTTATCTTAATATACATACTTCTAGGTATTTTATTGATCTTTGCATCAGTAGTATTTTTCAATTTAGTTCTCTTCATTCTTTTGAACATGAAGAGGGTTGCGTTTGCAGCCTGGACTTAAATCCTGACCACGATGACTAAGACCTAACCGTGCTGAACTGATATCTTTCACGTTAAATTCAGGCGTGCCGTTATATATATTGGTATAAGTATTATTTATAACTGAGGGTTTTTTATGTCATATTTAATTTACTATCAGGCTTGCATAGGACATAAATAAACGACCCCTTTTGTATTTTTCGGTTTATCATTATATTATCAGAGATCATAGTATTTTCGCCAAGACTTTAAAACGTCTGAAAATGAGGATTTCATATTTTGCATTTCTTAATTTCCTTACAATATTTAAAGTGAGTAATCCTTTTCCAGAAATGAACACGGGGAAATAATTCAGATTATCTATGTACACTTCATTAATAACACGGACGAAATGGAAAGTTTTTTTGTAGCACTTTCGATACCCTAGTACTTCAGGCTAAACGCTCACTTGTAAAACTCATCGCGTACGAGCACATTTCTTTGAAAATATGCACTGAGTCAGCTGTTTGTCACGTGTTGCCTTATATATAAATGTCACGATTGCCTCGTCATCATCAACAGACACTTTAGGATTTCAGACCTTATCGTCATGCTTAAGAAATGATATAACAGCTTTTGGGATTACTACGTAAAATTTATCGAATCAAATTGCTCTCACTGCGAGTATCATTGCTTGTTCTGTTTATTTACATACGTCGTGGTAGATGGTTCTTTTATTCAGTTTGCGTTAAGTATTATGTTTTCTGATTTTGAAAGGAGCTACGTTTAGTGTGTAGACTTTAAAATTGTGTCAGTTCAATATGCGAATAGAAGAGTAAACAATATTAACAAGGACATTCGATTTCGTACAATGTGGTGCAAATGCATTTAGTTAAAGAAATCTTTTTGTGTCAAGGTGTTTAGATAATAACTCTTTAGTGACAACAATAGGCATATTAAGATTAAGAGTTGAGCTTTACATCCTTTATTAATTCCTTTGATATTCATCAGCAAAAGACTTAGCTCATGTTGCAAACTTAGAAACGACCGTGAAAATAAATTAAAGTTATGACTTTTATTCTTCGCTTTGTTATTTGTCTCATTTTTAAAATCATTTTAGGTACAGTCGCCATCAGATATATCTGATCATACAAGATGACCAAATACATCTGAACAGTTAAAATGTCAATAAGTTCTATACACTACAAGTGACCATAAATATCTGATCATTCATTACTTCAATAATATCTGAGCAGATGCCTGTCAATAATATCTGAACATACAACTTTTCAAAAATATCTGAACAATTTTAATAGGACCTCTTAATTATTTATTTATAATAAGATGACGCTGGCAGTTAAACACTTTCCAGTTTTTATTCTTATCACCTCTGTCATGTGTCATGCACAAATAAATTCAAGCAGCTTGCTTACGTATTAGTTCATACCATAAATTAACTATAATTAATATGAGTTCGTACCGTATTGATGCGGAAATGAAACATAAAATAATACAACTAAAAAATGATGATTTATCCGTAAAAGATATCGCCGATGAGCTAGAGATAGCCGTAAGTATCACGGAGAAAAAAGCTAAAAATCAATTGCCCACAAAACATGAAACTTTATTCACAAAGTATAAAATTGTATTTATTTCAGAGAAATACTGTATATTTATGGCTAGAAAGATGGCAGCAAGAAGAAACATTAAATAATCATGTTTCATTTGGTCGCCCGCGTATTACTACAAATAACCAAGACTGTAAATTTTTGGCTTTATCTATAATAGCTATCTATTATAGATAAAGCCAAAAATTACAGATTTATAAACACTACACAATTTTCAAGCACATTCGAAATATCCACTAGCACCATTAGAAGACGATTAAAAGGAGGTTTAAAAATAGAGTACCGGCAAGAAAACCAACTCTCACGCCAAGGCACAAAATGCAGCGGCTACAATTTGCAGCTAATTATTTAAATTTTAATTTTCAAAACGTTATTTTCATGGACGAAAAGGTTTTCTGCTCATCAGATAATGGGCGATTAAGTTTGTAGCGACCCGAAAACACACGTTACTTAGAACAAAATTTGCTGCCTAATCGCCGGAGTGGACGTATTTCAATTGGATTTTGGGGATGGATGTGCAAAGATGGTCCTGGTGAGCTTGTGGAAATAAGTGGATGAATGAATGCAATGAATTATAAGGAACTTCTGGAAGATACTTTTCTTCCTACAGCTCAAGTTTTTTATCCAGAACAACAAATTACATTCCTTCAAGACAACAGCTCAGTACATAATGCTCGTACAGTACAGACATGGATTAATGAACGGAGA